GTCACGTGAGAGAGAAATGGTAAACAAAATAAGTCTTAGGCCCATTTAAGGCTTCCAGGCCCATAATATATATTACACTGATTTTTGGTTGCATGCCTTGGAATGGTTGGTGGGTGGGAACGGTAGGGGTAATAGTGTCATTTAACAATCTCTGCAACTTGCTCACGGACTTTGGTCTGAAAAGAAACAATTTGACGGAGGTAAAGGCGCAGCCTTTAATCTCCGAACATTACCATTTCTCGGCTTTTCGGTGCCGGAGTTTACCAGCTATGAACCCTAGTTCTCTGTTTCATTCTCACCATTTTGTTTTCGCTATCATTTTGGTGTACCAATTGTACACGCTTCCGAGCAATTAGAGCATTTGACTGAACAAGGAAGAAGAGCCGTCTTCTTATCTTTCTTCATACTTTAGGCTCTTCCCACACGTTTTTACTTACCGAAAAGGGATTTTTCTTGGCGAGGTTCTGTTTTTGTTTTTCTTTAGGGTTTTTCTGTTATCAGATTCTTATGACGGCTATGGCACTTGAGTTATCGGTTCTGGGTCGATCTGTAATTGGCACAAATACCTCAAAATTGAAGAGATATGGTCAAAAATCGAATCTTTCAGGTAGAACTGAGCTACTACATTCACTCCCTGTCACGTTGAGTTCTTCTAAAAACTCCAATTTGAGTTTTACATTTCGGCGAAGATGTGCATTTGGTAGCTACAGAAGTAGCTTTATGCTGTTTAGCTCAAGTCAATATCACGAGGGGAGTCAACAGAACTCTGATTCCGGCGAAAAAGAGCTGGAGTCGATTAAGGTTTTTCTGAAACGTGGGATTGTTGTAGGAGCAGTAGTGTGTGGAGTGTTCTTGTATGGATGCCAAAAGGTGTTAGCATCTGCAGGTGTGGTGGAAGCAGGCTATGAGGTGTTTGGTCAAAGTGTAGTGTTGTTCAAGAATGCTTTGCCAAAAATTTACCAGGTTCTTAGAGTTCTTAGAGAGCAAGGTCTAATATTGGCTGCTCTGCTTAGCCTTTCAGCATTCTTTTCTATGGCAGAGACGTCAATTACCACTTTGTGGCCGTGGAAGGTAAAATCAGACCATGCTTTTGATTGGGAATCCGTTTTGTGTGATTTAGTAATGCCAATGCAGAAAAATTGTAGCACGATGTTGAGTTGTTTTGAATTTTTATATTCTCTTTATTGGAAGACAAATTTGATTGTGGAACAACGAGATCTATTCGGAAAATATGTTGTTTTAAGTTAGGAAAGGTGAAACTTTCATAGATTTTAGATTCTTTAAGGGAAGATACAATAGTGAGATGTTACTCTTGTTTGTTTTGTGAGTGTGAATTGTGTCCCCTCCTGTCTGGTCTCTAATGTTCTAATTTGGTTTGATCTGATTGATTTTGAAATATTGCTGTTTTATATGTGGCTCATCTCAGGTGCGTGAGTTGGCTGAAAAAGAGCCAGAGAATGGCGTATTCAGAATGCTCCGGAGCGATGTTACCAGATTCTTGACGACTATACTTATTGGAACAACGTATTGCTTTTTTCCCTAGATGCAATTTGTCTTTAGAAGATTGCTTGAAATTTTGTCTCTTATCTTAGGTCTTGTGGTTGGTCTTAGTGTTGTGAATATCGCGGCAACTGCCCTGGTCACCGAAGCAGCAACAGCTATATTTGGGGAAGCTGGTGTTAGTGCAGCCACTGGATTGATGACAGTACGTATAATTGTTTCAACACATTTTTATACTTGTAAACTTTTAAATCCTTCTGGTTGGTTTTGTAATATGCATCTTCTGATTCTGTGTGGATATTGTATAGGTGGCTATTTTACTCCTGACTGAGATTACTCCAAAAAGTGTTGCTGTCCACAATGCTCAAGAAGTTGCAAGGCTTGTGGTAAGTTTGAAATAAGCGGCATTGGTTCACCTTAAGCAAACTTTATGTAGATACCCATTGGCTTTGCTCATTTCGACCCTTCGGATAGGAAATAGGTCAACGTTTCAAATATCTCAGATGCGGATAGTAAAAGGAATACATGACTTATGTTGTCTGACTGTGCATCTAGGTCAGGCCAGTGGCGTGGCTTTCCTTGGTATTATATCCTGTTGGAAGAATTGTCACATATCTATCAATGGGAATTCTGAAAATCCTTGGTTTGAAAGGACGAAGGTATGCATTAGCCTTGGCTTGTTTTCGTATCTCTAAATAAAAAAATATTTGTTTCTCTGCATTGTCATCCCTCTCTCCTTGTTGAAAGTTAGGGAATCCTAGTTATATTTGGCTCTCTCTTTTATGTGTCAGTGAGCCATATGTTACTGAAGATGAACTGAAACTGATGTTAAGAGGTGCAGAATTAAGTGGCGCCATTGAAGAAGAGGAACAGGTATGGTTTTTTTGTAATATATCAATTTTTTTGTTCAAATCTATTAACATGCCTATGTTTTTCTAATGATTTCTCTGCAGGATATGATTGAAAATGTGCTGGAGATAAAGGATACCCATGTTCGAGAGGTGATGACTCCTCTTGTTGATGTAGTTGCAATTGACGCCAGTAGCAGTCTAGTTGATTTCCATAGTATGTGGGTGACCCATCAGTACTCGAGGTAAATAAATTTCTGAAGCCTTCTTTCTGGAGCCGTTTCCCTTAGGGGTATTCATCACGCTCAAATGTTTTCTTCCCAGGGTGCCTGTTTTTGAGCAGCGTATAGATAACATAGTGGGAATTGCATATGCTATGGATCTCCTAGATTATGTTCAGAAGGTTTGACGGTTTCATTTTCTGTTTCTTGCTTTTGTTATTTCTTAGGCTTTCTTCCTGTTAATCGTGTTGTGTAGAATGAATTATATTGTGTTGGATTTTGAAGGGTGATCTGCTAGAAAGTACTTCTGTGGGGGACATGGCACATAAACCTGCATACTTTGTCCCCGGTAATCATCAATGTGTTTGCTTTGAGATTTGATACCGAATACTGAACGCCTAGGCATTTGATTGCTTTGGATTTTCTCCATTGGGGTTAAATTATATTGTTATATTACCGACGTTAAACACTAATTCTCCGCACTGATTTATTTTACAGTACAGTGAAGAAAATCTAATGATATATGCTACACTTTGCAGATTCAATGTCTGTTTGGAATCTTCTTAGAGAATTTCGCATAAGAAAGGTTCACATGGCAGTTGTCCTTAACGAATATGGTGGAACCATTGGAGTATGTGCTACTCTTCTTTTATTCTTCTCTAGTCTCTCTCTTCCATGCTTAGCTAATCTCCCTCCTATCTAATATGTTTCTGCAGATAGTAACTCTTGAAGATGTGGTCGAAGAGATTGTTGGTGAAATATTTGATGAAAATGATTCAAAAGTAAATTTCTTGGTTTCAACTCTATTAGAAAATCATTCTAGACCTGTTGATATGATTAACCTATCTTACATTAACTTATTTTCCCATTAGTAAGGCTTTACTCCATTACTTAATCTCTTGCCTCCATGATTTTGGCTCAATAGGAGGAGATTCAGAAGAAAACAGGGTATATTGTGATGAGAGATGAGGGGGTATATGATGTTGATGCTAATACATCGATTGACCAGTTATCTGAAGAACTGAATATGAAGATGCCAGAGGTAATGTAATTTTTAGCAGTGGCTTTGACATCTATTCAGTGCGCCCTCAAGAGCATTCCTCGGGGTTATCTTTTTAACTTTGAAATAGAACACATCTTTAAGGTTACGTGTAGGCAGAGAAGCTTTTATTTAAGCTCTTGAAACATGTTATGTTGCTGGTGACATGACTCTTTAAAAGTTAAAAACCACAATGTTTGTTCATTTGGTGGGAAGCAGGGTATTCAATACGAGACAGTCTCAGGCTTTGTGTGTGAGGCCTTTGGGTATATCCCAAAAACTGGAGAAAGCGTAAAGGTTATTCTTGAAAAGGAAAACTGGGAAGAGGATGGTGAAGAAGAGGAAGGTAAACAGGAGAGACGAGAGCAGAAGGAAAAGCACCAAATCTATAGAGTAGAGGTATTAAGTGGGCTCATGATCATATTTTCCAGTGGTTCAGCAAAAGCATCTTCATTGTTTCAAACTGATAAGGTCTTTGTGGTGTACAGATACTAGCGGGGAATGCAAGAAAAGTGAGTGCTGTCCGGTTTGAAAGAGTCAACGACATGGATCAAGTGTCGGAGGCGAAAGATGTAAAAAGCATGGTTCCTAAATTCGTAAGGAAATGGAGCAGCGAAGAGGATGATGGGAACTCGTCGTACCAAGAAATATCCGAGAATGGTGTCGCAGATGAACATATGTTGGCTGATAATAGCACGAAACCACAATGACATTGACACAGTTCTTTGTTTCTTTATGCTGCATTTTTCAGTTCTTCTTTGAAATGGAAAGAGGAACACAACAAAGGCATTCACTTAGGACCTGTCAAATGCTCAAAGCTCTTTAACCCAATATTAGAAGTAAGCTCCCAAATACAAGATGGTTAATATAATACTCAAGATGGCTAAATCAAGAATTTGTGTTAGGTAAACACTACACAAGAGATCAATCAGGAGAAACATGAAACTAGTAGTAGGTCTACATATAATTTGTCTGATTTCTGTTTACATAGGACTCTGTTTCCAAAACAGAACATTCTATTGCTATTCCCATCTTCTTCCCTCAAAGCTCTGTGTTTTGTAGATGATGGATTGTAAGAGAGGTTGTTGTATGTCTTTTTAATTGTTCTATGACACTGATTTTTCCTTTTTCTCAATGTGTAAATGATTAATCTAAATGTTGGACATGATCTGAAACAAAAGCACAAATAATAAAAATCTCTTGACTCTTTTCCTCCACCATGTTTACCACCTATCTCTCTATACAAACCTGAATCCAATAGCTTTGAGTTCCTACTCGAGTTTGATCAGGAGAAATTTCTCAGGTTTTAGCCTCACATTCTCCAAAAGAT